ACTGTGCGTGAAACTTTCCGTCCCAGGCAGGACTGGACGCAAGCCTGCCAGAAAAACAGGGGCAGCGAGCCAGTTTCTTTTAACAAAACAAAGTTATGCAATATCAGTTAGTTCTGACATGTTCCCAATATGCAGCAAATGAAGAACTCACTAAATACAGTATATCTCTGGCCATATCATTTGAATATAACTTGTTTCCATGACAACCTCCGCTTAACAGCTTGGCTGATATGAAATCATTCCTAGATGAGGGAGCTTTTGCCAAAAGCATTGGGATTCAACACTTTAATACAATGTTTTAGGTTTAAAAAAAAAACAACATTTATTTAAGCCTCTGGAAGCAAATATCAAATAAAATCCCTTCATCCTCACCTCTGCTTCGGCTCTCGGTTGATCAGTTTATCTTCCCGGGAACCTCTCAGAAGCAGCTCTTGTGTTACTTAATATGCTTCTGAAGTCCCAGGCAGTGTTTCAAGAGCAAGTGATCGTGACACCAGTGTTTGGTAGAGAAATTACATTTCATGGCTGTTGTCTCAGCCTGCGAGGCAGCAGGGCAGCAGCGGCAGCAGCTGGGCACAGCAGCCAAGGCTTGTGCTGGAGCCATCCCTTAAGTCCGTGAAGGTTTATGCTCCAACTAGCTCTGCCTCGGAGTGAAAAAGAGGAGCTTCGGCTGGAAGCCCAAGATTTCCTGCGGTTCATTTTGTATCAGGAGCACTGAACAAACAAAACCCGGTTATCTATTAGATGTTACCTAAGGTGTCGTACCTATCGCCTCGGAAATAGCTGTGGAACACTTGCAGTGTGGAAATAAATATGACTGCTCATAGGGTGCTTGTTCCCTTCCTCCCTTCCAGGTGCTACATTGCATTAGAATATAGATAAAATAAGTCTAATGCTTTCCTAATATCTCTCATGTACACAGGCACTGCAGTTGCCACAGTGATGGTACACAACTGTCAGCAGGAGAAAGGATGGTCCTGAAGGTTTTAAGAAGCAGTCTGCCCCTTCGAACCACCACTGTTGCTTTATATCACGAGGATTCCTTGCACGAGGATTCCTTGCACTAGCTGGGAAGCAGGGGCTGCGGGAAAAGCTACCGGAACAGGCAAATAACATTTCAATCACATGTAACATACCCATTGCTGTCAAGATTTTGGGATCAGCAAGGATTATGAGTAGGGATTTAAATCTCAAGTAAAACCATGGAAGGAGTTATGAAGTGTTCATTGTTTCTTCCAGCTGTAAGGTGCCTACTTCATCTCTAATTAGCCCCAACGTGGAGTGACTTGGGCCTTTGCTGTGGCAAAGAGGTTCGGGTACTTGAAAACGGGTACAGAAAAGCAGTGCTAGGAGCACACAGAATGGGGCAGAACAGTATTTCCCACTCCAGGGTATTTTTTTTCCTCCCAGTTGTTACCTGGGGAATTTTCAGCTGTTACCCATCTGAAATCAGCTGAGCTAATCTACTGGCTGACCCCTGCTCTCGGCCACACAGTTCTGCTTTATAAGACCTTAGCAGAAAATGATCTGTTCACCTGGAGAATCCTGCAAGCAAAAGGAGGGTATGGCTGAGAGAAGGTATAAAGAACGGAGTCAGGAGCCCCTTCCATGGTGGTGAGCTTTAAGCAACTCATCTCACCTTTGCACCATCTTGTAGCACAGGACTGCACCATAACACAGTTTGTTTATGGTAAAACTGCTTGAGAAGGTACAAGAGCACAGGAGAAGGCATCACGAGGCTTTCTTTAAAAAGGAACCTTCCAGATATATGGCAAATAAAATAAAATTTTAATTAAAGCCATATAAATATCTCTCTGAAAAATGCTAATAATTTCCCGGGATTTTTAGTCTTTGAACTGATTTTATTCAAGGTGTGCTGGCAGCGCGAGGTGGCTAAGCAGAATCAGGAGGCTGTTCTCCCCATCGCTCTTCCTTGTGAGATCCACGTCAGGAGACTCATTTTTGCCTGTGTCACGACTTCTTAGAAATCTCTGTAGGCAAAGGATGTGCTAATTCGATGCATCCTGCGATTGTCCTTCCTCCACAGCTAGACTAATGTACTGTTAGTTGAGATTCCCACAATGTACCTTGTGCCACTGCGAAGCCTGGTATTTACTGATGTAAACAAGAAATAAACGGAGGCTTTAACATGTCTCATTTGGAATAATGATACAGGCTCTGCCGCCTGGTACTTGTGCTGTGTCTCGGAGGTGTGGGGGCTGTACTTCTATATTGTTCCTTGCAGCTCAGATTGTTTATAACAGAATAATTTGTTTTCAACCTGAGCTGCAATGTTTGAAATGATGAGCAGTTCTCTAATAATGGAATCCGGAGGTTTTCACTGAAGCGTGTGGTTCCTGTCAGAGGCAGGTGCTGGATTCAAAGTTAGTTTTTGTAATGTACTCTAGTGGGTTTGGCCTTATTTCCAGAGTGGTGCTGCTGCATATCCGAAAATTAATACTTCACTGGCAACCTCAGCAGAGGACACCAAAAATGTATTAGGCGTGGAGGCTGTCAACGGCAGTCACAGAGGCAAGATGTGGCCCTTTAGACTCGTAAGAAATTAGCACTCTCCTCCT